TTGAAGATGATGCATAGTACATAGTTTTTCACTACTAGTGAGAACAGTTACAAATAAGTAAGAAAGGAAGACTAGAGTGAGACATGAATTACTGTGTTAGAGTCAGAGATACTAGTATGACCTCAGGTTCACACATATACACACAGAAACACAGAGATGGATACAAATAGAAACAATTAGAGATACCTGAGTATTCAGGGTTTGTATGTTGAAATAGACTGTGGCAAATATCAACCAGTCCAATTTGAAACAAAACAAAACAAAACACTGAACTATTGCTTTTTTTTTAGAGAAAGAGAGAGAGACAGAGAGAGAGAGAGAGAGAGAGAGAGAGAGAGAGAGAGAGAGAGAGAGAATTTTTTTAATATTTATTTTTTAGTTTTCGGCGGACACAACATCTTTGTTTGTATGTGGTGCTGAGGATCGAACCCAGACCACACGCATGCCAGGCGAGCACGCTACCACTTGAGCCGCATCCCCAACCCCAAGAACTATTGCTTTTTAATACCAGTGAAAATAACCAAGATCCTTTAAAAAAGTCTGAGGGAAGGACTATACAAAATTAGCTTCTAGTAGTAATACCACATGTTATAGAAATGAAGGAGATTAAAAAAGAGAGAGAGAGAACAAAAAGATGAAAAAATTTCCAAGGGATCAAGTAGCCAATCTGAAAAAGCTTCAAAGGATAAAACTGGACCAATTTGAGTAATGAAAAAAATAACACACATTGAAATATATCCTACATTATAAGATAAATGTCCCTTAGTTTTTATATATATATATATATATATATATATATATATATATATATATATATATATATGAATGAATGATTGGATCAATAAAAAATGAATGGAAAGAGTGCAATCTTCCTTACAGATAAATAAATACTCCCATCTGGGAGATGGAATACAAATTTTCTTCTGCCTTAAGTGCAGGCCAGGCAAAGTGACTGTCTTTGAAGGGTTAGAATATGGAAAGATAAAATTGTAAACTTAAGTTTGTATAATTGAAACTCTATCTTCACTAAATGGTTAATGTTCAATATCATTGGTAATGCCATGTAGGAATGGAAAAGGCATTTCTCCCCCCAAACTCATAACCCCAGTCTAAACAGGACAAAATGACACACAAACTACAACTGAAGTATATTCTAGAAATCATCACCATCACTCATCAAAAAGCTCAAGGGATTCTGAGAAGACTGTAAGGCAAGACAACTAAACACAACATGGCATCCTGGATTTGATCCTGGGGAAGAAAATACACAACATTAAATTAAAACGTAGATAAATCCAAATAAGTCATGAATTCAAGTCAAATTTTATCTAACTACATCTACCAATAGTTTGGAAAGTGTATAGAGTAATAAATGTTCTATAACACTGCCCCTGCCAACCATATGCACTATACACAGAAACACTTCAGAGGGGATGTGGGAGAATATAATGCTGTCTCTGAGTTTATTTCTGTCATTTGCAAAACATGTTAGCAATGGGGAATGAAACAGGAAAAATGCTCACCATCAGGCACAACCAAATAGAAAATAGAAAAGAAAATATGGTTTGGGTCAATGGGTACTTTAGTTTCTTGATTAGATTAACGTAATCCATGCCATATTAAGATCAATACTTGCAATGAACTGTACTGGATTTTATTTATGAGATCATGAGACCACTAAAAGCTAAAGTCTTCTATTCTGCCTTTCAGGTTAACAGCAGCAAAGTCTAATGTGACCACTTAAAACAATCCTATAAAATGATAGCCAGGAGGATGGTGGATAAGAGATGATAATATTGTAAGTTTAATATTTCACTTAATGTAAAACCAGGTGGATAGGATAAGGACATGGAGGGAAGCATATCTTTTCACTATTGAATAGAATGCAAACTATTATAGCCATTATGAGAAATATGGTGGACTTTACTCAAAAAATTAAAAATAATTTTACCATGAAATTTAGCAATCCTACTCCTGCATATATATCCTACTTCCATCATAAAATAACAAGGTTCAAGTGATACTTGCACGTTCATGTTCATTATAGCCTTATTCCTTATAGCCATGACATTGGTAAAAAGCCCTTGTCTGCCAACAAATGAATGAATAAAGAAAGAAAATGCAACTGTATATATAACACATATAAATTATACACATATAATATATTGATATAGATATATAATACATGGTACAAGCATGGTAATTTATGAAGCAGGAATTTGAAGCTTCCAAGAGACAATCGTTCCTCTACACAAAGGGGATCTCATCCTAGTTTCTGGTGACCAAATTGGTGGGTACAGGACTCACAATCTGTCCTTTTGATGTTCTCTGGGGGTGACCAGACCCTGGAATGAACTTTGCAATGAACTATATTGGATTTCTCAAGGTCTCAGGCAGATGCTGACAACCTTGGGGATCCCTGCCATCTAGGCATGCCCCCTGTCCCATTCAATGGCCCACAGTTTGTTGTTGGAAGTCTGGACACCCATGCCCTGTGGTAACACTATCTCCAACTTACTCCTTGTTTCTCCTGTCAACTTCCCAGTGATGTTTTCTCCTCTGTTCCCCTTGCCATTTCAGCAGTTGACTAGACAGAATTGGGCCATGTGATCAGCCTAAACAGACTGATAAATGAAACAGTCTGAGCTAACCATAAAATTCTAAGCCAGAAAAAGCTCTTAATAACAGTTGCCTATAACTGGGTACAAGAAATCCAAGACATGGCCAAAAAGTGACCTGTGGTCTTTAAGTAACCAATAAAACTCTGTTATCAGTTTTATTTATTTATTTATTTATTTATTTATTTTTAAATTGCAGATGGGAACAATACCTTTATTTTATTTATTTATTTTAATATGGTGCTGAGGATCGAACCCAGTGCCTCACACATGCTAGGAAAGTGCTCTACCACTGAGACACAACCCCAGCCCCTGTTATTATTTTTATTATAGAAAAATTTCATAGATTATGACAATCACCATTACCAACATTGCCTCAGAGTATATACTATTTACTACATCCCAAGAAATATCCAGAACACTTTACCTAATTCACTCATCCTCAAAATGACCCTCTGAGGCAAGCTGTATTACTATACCCTTTTTAATAAGAAGAAACAGAAATTCAGAGAGGTTAAGGCCTAAAGAAATGTAGCTGGGATGTCCTGACACTTGCAATAACGTGGCAAAACTCAAAGACATTATACTGAATGAAATAAGCCATGTAGAAAATGACAAATATTGCATGTTCACTTTTATATATGAATCTAAAAATTTGAACTCATAAAGGCACAGACAACTAGACTGCTGGGTCTGGAGATTCAGAGGGAAATTAAAACTGGGTAGAGGTTGGATAAAGACACAAAGTTTCAGAAAGGAGGACAATTGAGCTGTATTATAAAACATGGTGACTATAAGTATTGCTACTGTATTATTTACCAGATAATACCTAAAAGTGTAGATTTCACCTCACAAAAATATTATAATTGTGTGGGGTGATAGACATGTTAATTTTTCTCAATTATACTTATAAAAATCTGAAAGAAAAAAAAGTGTGGTAAAGATGGAAATTGTATAGGGTGATAAACATGTTAATTGAAAAGAAAAAATAATTTCCTAATATGCATATATAAAACTGCATTTTAGCCATAAATACACACATTTTTTTCTCAATTATACTTATAAAAATCTGAAAGAAAAAAAAGTATGGTAAAGATGGAAATGTAGCACAAGTTGTGCAAAATCATAAGCTTTTCACAGTGAAATATGGCCCAAAATACTAACGTACATTTTTATGCTTTAAAAAGTTTGTATTCATGTGCTATTTCGCAGTATATAGACTAAAAGTTCTGTTATATACATGATTCTTACTTAGTGTTAAAGACACATAAAGAGTTCAAAGTGAGCACAATTAGTATAATTGCAAGCCACACAGGAAATTCAGGGGAAGTCTAGTGTGTAGTTTTATTTTATAATGAAGCAAATTATTTAAATTAGCCTTTACAAAGCCCTCAAAGACTATAGCTGACAATTGACTCATAGATAAAATTCTTATATTTCCAAATGTTACTTTATATTTTTCCTTGTAGTTTCTTGTACTACAATTGATATAACTGACAATTAATAGGGTGAATATAGTTCTCATATTTCATATAGAAATGTTTAAAAATTATGTAAACAATAAATCATTCTTTTCATAAAAATATATTCCTTAATTTGGAAAATATAATTGATGTTCAATATATATTAATAAAAATATATTAGATCAAGCTTAAAACTGAAGATAACAACCCCCACACAACGGTATTTATCACAATTTTTCCAATACATTTTCAGGTAATTATTTTTAAAATTCCATTGACTTCCAAGTAATTTTTGAACTCTATGTCTTGAACTACCACAAATATTCTTCATGGATTTCTAGGTAGCCCAGGTGCTTCAAACATATACTTCACCAAATTATATGCAAACAACTATGATGACTAATATTCAGCAAACCACTGATCAGAATTTTCAAGTTATACCCATTTTCTATACTTATATTGTAGAAACTATACTATATAGTATATAGTATAGAAAATATATGTAATTATATTTATTACTGCCATGCCAGGAAAAGAAAAGAAATATAAGACAATTACTTATGGTACATAAATCACTGTTGTGCTACAATTAGTGAACTTATAACACATAAATGATATGGAAGAACATGTTCCAAATTCCCCTCAATACTTATTGTTCATCAAAGAACAACATTGTTGGAGAAAAGTATTGCAGGTGTTCCATTAGTCTCTAAATAAACCAAGATAGGAGACAAAATTATCCTGCCTAGAAAAACATAAATTAAAAGACAGATTCTGCACATTTAAGAATTGATAGTACCATCTTCAGATGGGAGTTATAAACTGAGTTTGATGTATTATTACACTGTTAATGTCACAAGTACATAGGTCATTCTCTTCCCATTAGTCTTCTAACGGCCTCTCTTATGTCTTTGTTTCTTTAGGTATAGATGAGAGGGTTGAGGCTAGGTGTGACAGCAGTATAAAACAGGGAAATAAACTTCCCTTGATCTTGAGAATTTTCTGTTGGTGGTTGAAGATAAATGCAGAGAACTGGAATGAAAAAGAGGGAAACAACCAGAAGATGGGCTCCACACGTCCCAAAGACTTTCTGATGTCCAGTAGTTGACTGCATCCTCAGTGCAGCCTGAGCAATGGCACCATAGGATGTTAGAATGAGGACAAGAGGTGTGAGAACAAAAATAGAGCTTGTGACCATGAGAGTCAGCTCATTAGCATGAGTATCAACACAGGACAATTTCAGGAGTGCTGGAACTTCACAGAAGAAGTAATCCACTTGGTGATGTCCACACAGGGGTACCCAGCAGGTAATGAGGGAATGGAGTGCTGAGTTAATAAAGCCACTTACCCAGGAAGCCACAGCTAAGGATTGGTAGAGTCGAGGGTGCATGAGGACAGCATAATGCAGGGGTTTACACACAGCTGCGTAATGGTCATAGGACATCACCACCAGCAGGACACACTCTGTGGTTCCCAGAGCAAAAGCAAAGTAGAGTTGAATCATACAAGCAGCATATGAAATGGTCTTCTCTGAGTCCCAGAGGTTAACCAGCAATTGGGGGCTGGAGCTGGTGGTGTAGCAGAGATCCAGAAAAGAGAGGTTTGAGAGGAAGAAGTACATGGGAGTGTGGAAACGGGAATCCAGGTATGACAGTATGATGATGAACAAATTACCTATCAGTGTCATCAAATAGAACATAGAGATTTCAACAAAAAGAGCTGTTTCCAGGTTAGGCCAATGAGAAAAGCCCAGTAGAATGAAGTATCCTTCAGAAGTTCCATTGATTTTTTCCATTGTTGTCTTCTATTACCTGAGGAAATAAAATCAAATTATCTCAAAGAATATAAGAAAATGATCCAAGAATCATAGGGACATGGAAAAAATAAAGAAAAAAAAAACAGTTTTTAAAAGCCTGCCACTGTTGAATACTATGATAAGTAGGGCATTAAGTGAAATTATCTCAGTAATTGAACAATAATAGAATCTTGAAGTTCATATTTGATATCAATGTAATAGTAAAATATATTGGTGAAAACTTAAGTACTGCCTATACCAGTATATTACTTAATAAATATAAAAAGGAATGATGACTTTAGGAAGACAAAAATGGATACCAAATTGGTAGATGATAATTTGACAAGGAACAGGTTTATTACATAGTCTAAAATATCTGTTCACCATTTACTTGGTAATACAAAGTGAAAGATTGTAATTATATATTTTTTAGTTGCAGAACCTGGTGGACATCCCCATAACCAGGTGATGAGTGTCAGCATCAACAATGTTGAGAAAAAACAACATTATGGGGATACTGATGTGATGCTCTCAACAGGACACAATACTGCTTCAGTCATATTTCTGCCAAGAATGCAAAGTCTAATTCTAATAATGAACAAACTTGACCCAACTCAAAAGAATGCAAAGTCAAATTCTAATAATGAACAAACTTGACCCAACTCAAAAGAATGCAAAGTCTAATTCTAATAATGAACAAACTTGACCCATCTTAAAAGAAACAAAACACTCTACCTGTACTCCTCAAAAATGTCAAAGTCAATAATATCAGTGACAATTGAGAAACTGGTTTATGATAAAGGAGACCAAAGGGGCACAATAGCCTAATTTGTGATTCTACAAAAAAAAAAAAAAAAAAAAAAAACTACTAAAAATTATTGAGACCATTGGAAAAATGTAAATATAGACTACTGATTAGATAAAATTATCTCCCCATTAAATCAGCTGATTTTTAAGTGTACATATTTTACATACAATGCTATTCTTTAAAAATTAACACAAAAAGACACTATATTGGTGGAACATAGCCTCTCCAATTCATCTCACGTGCTCCAAAAAAAATAAAAATGATGGATAGATAGATTGACAGATAGCTGGAGACACAGACCAATAGATACATAGGTAGATGATAGAAAACTGGATGAAAAAACAAAGATTTTCAGGGAAACAGTTTACTAAGGCACAAACTAGGTAAATGCTACATGGTGGTATATTGTACCACTTTTTCTAATTGCTCTTTAAGTTTGAAATTTTACTACAAGAACATACAACATAATTTCATTTACCACATCCAGATATTTGTCTTTTTGTAGAAAAAAAAGTAACACCAACAATTTAAGTTAAAATTCATTCTCAGGTGAATTTTAATTGGTATGTAAATAGTAATTAAAGAAATAGCTAATTTAGCTGAGAAAGAAAACTTCCATGAAGCAATATTTGTTACCAAACAGAACTTTTGTTACTAAATGAGTGATTTCAGTTTTCTTTTCAGCATTTTTAGGTTAATATCATTTATGTGACAATAAAAACCATAATAATTACAATCCTGTTAATCATACATATGGTTGAAAATACAGGAGGAAAAATTCTTAATTTTGTAATGATATTAAATTATTTATATAGGATACAAGATATTTAGATTCAATTAGATGTGCTTATAGAAAGAACTTTATCATTTTATTTGTGCATTTGGACTCAAAGATACTTTCTAACTGTAAAATAAAACACAAATAGAGATAACAAAAAGAGACACATCTTGCAATAATTTAAGATTATTAATATATGAACAAGATAGAAATCTTGATAAATGAATATTCAAATGATCTGTAAAGATTGGATGAGTCTAAATTTGGAAAGAAAAATTTGTAGAGAAAAGAACAAAATTCACTGACAGCACAGACAAAGAAAAGGTATGGAGAGGAACCTGGTGATAATACTTAAAGTTGGAAGAGGGCATCACGGGGATGAGAAATTGAAACCCCTGGTCTTGAGGTCATTACATGATATCTTTTTCTCTAGGATAATAAATGTTATGGTATTTAAATTCTAAGCACACGCTCTAATTACTACATATTTAGAAATTTTCAGTTTAGAGCAGAACTGTGAATATCTAATGAAAACATAAAACAGATTAGGTCATTTAATATATTGTAGGTAATGAAACTTACTTTTGGTTTTAAAAATAACACATATATTTGTGAATCTTATGTAATATCTTTTCTCCTGCAGTTTTTCAATCTGCATCTTAAATATTAATATTCCCTTTTGTTATATAGTTATTTTAGCAATGTATACCCCACCATTTGAGTTTCCTATTTTCCTCTGAATACATGGTCTCCTCCCAATTTGTCATATCCTTTTCTCCTTTCCTTTCTTGGCCAATGCATTCTTTCATGATTCCTCATAAGCCATGACAGAAAAAGAAAAAGGTTACCTCAGAGCCACCTGTGGTTTCCTCTTTTTGTTGTTTCTTAGTTTGTTATGTTCTATAAATGCACCTCTAATACTAAAAAGAAAATGTTGGGAGTAGCTAAATAAGTGGGTTTCAGCAAGAAAATTTGAAGCATTCAATTTGGCTCCAGTCTTTAAGACTGCTCAGATTTAGTAATTCCTAATGATATTGGTCATGAACAGAATAATTCACCAGTTGTTACACTAGCCTAGAATAATAGCTTCAACTCAGAAACTGTCCAGTTTAATCAGTGACTACACTTAAAAAAAACTTTCTTAAAAGTTACAACTGAATTAAAAAATAGCAATAATCAAAGAGTAAATCACAAGTATTTCTTCACCATAGACCACTGCCATTTGAGGGATAATGGTAATTTTCTAAAAGAGTGTTAAAATTTCTTTAGAATGGGAAATAATACATATAAAAAGTTTGGGCCTAAATGTTGTAGTTATTTTCTCATAGAGACGTAATTTTCTTTGTCTTTTACAGGGCTTCCATGACTTAGTTCATTAACTAAAACAAAGTGGCAGTTGTGAAATAACTTTATACAGTGCATGAACTTTCTTGACTATTTGTAAACAAGAACATAAAGATGGGGAACTTGAGATGGGGAAAATTTCATTTTTTCAGATACAAAAACGTGAAAGTAGAAATCTTATGTTTTAACTTTCTTATTAGTGGAAGGAAGAGAAATAAAGATCTGCTCCAATATTGTTCTTATTGGCTGTGGATGACTTCTCCACTGTAGGTTTAAAAGTTAGCAATGTGGAGGGAAAGGGGTTGCTTTTCCTATCTCTTTTTTTTCCAGACAAAACCTTTTGATCTTGATTATATTACTTCTTTCATATTCTTACCTAGTACTCAAATGGTACTGAAACAACTTCTTTCAATTCTATCATCCCATGTCTGTCCACGTTCCCGTATGTCATCTTCCTTATGTATACTTCATGTGTAGAAGACTTGAGTTTGTTGATTTTCTTGAAATCCCCAACATAAATTCTTTCCTACACCATAGATTATAATCTACAAAAATCAAGTCAGTAAAGCAAAGTCTTAAAGTTACTCAGCTTTACTAACTGTGATTATCATTGCTACAGAAGAGAAAATCCTGTGTTTACTTGAAGTATTTGAAGTCAGAAGGAAAAACTTAGAGCCATCAGTGTATAGGGGATTGATTCTTAGAACCTTTGGGCCTTTGTGGAAACAGAAGAAGAATGTGAATTAATTTCCTTGACTGGGCCATAGGGATGGCAAATCCCAAGTGTCAATTAATGCTTTTTGAGACTTGTCTTGATTATCATACTTTCACAGGAATTTGACTACCATGATACCACATCATTGTAGGAAAATTACAATGAATTTGTAGTCTGACCTTCACTGAGAAAAATGCTGAGCAGTGTCTTCTAAGAAGAAAAGGGGATTTCTAGAGTTACCTTAAATTTCTTCTGCAAATTCTCATCCTGCTAATGGCTAAAATTGGAGGGATAAATTGTCAACTATCACATTTGAAGATGGAAGAAGGCATGAAATAGTAAAAAATAAAGAATGAGAGAGAGATCCAAGATAGCAGAATAGAGGTCATGTTCCTGGCTCCTCTGTGGCATGAAAACAAGAAATCAGATAGGCAGATCCTCTGCAATGTGGGTGAACAAATAAAATCGGGGAGGGACACATTACTGGAACATCCATTACTGGATGTAATGGATCCAGGAACACATTACTGGACATCCAAAGCAGACCGGAGACACAGGACATTGGACATAATAAAATGAGAAAAAATCCCCAGAGGCACAGCTGCCACAGACTGTCCAGAAGCTCCAGCCAGAGTTGTCCCTCCATAAGCATAGTAGAGGGATAAGGGAATTAAAAGAACCTGCATTTTGGGGAGGCCCAAGGTGTGTCTGGGTATGGAGCATTTAGAGACCAAGGACATTGTCAAGCAAACTCAAAAGATGCACTGTGCAAAATCCACGCCTGGGGAAAGAAGCCTCCATCTCTCTAGGAGCAGAGGACAAAGAATGGAACCATTTTGCGGCTGCAGTGCAGGGGCTGGTGACTAAGGAAGCTTATTCTTGGCAAACCCAAGTTTGACCAGAAATGCAGGCCCAGTAAATATACACTGCACATTATAGGGTGTGCTTAAGTGACCAGAAGAAATCAAACATGGAGAGAGTTTTACATATGAGACAACAAGACCTCTATTCTGCTATCTTGGATCTCTCTCTCTCATTCTTTATTTTTTACTATTTCATGCCTTCTTCCATCTTCAAATATGTTGCAGAAACTCACCTAGCTCTATTCCTTCCTCTCAAATCTGATTATTTGCAGGACCAGCTGGGAGAGATGCATCTGGCTGGGAACTCAGAAGGGCAGGGGCTGAAGAAATTGATTGGAGACTAAACCTGGGACCAGGAAACATGGAGTCTGCAGGTGATGTAAGCAACTAAGAATTGGTTAGTCCAATACATGAGTGGAACCCAGGGGAGATCCCTGGATTAAAGACTTCCAGCATGGACCAGCAACTACTGGGCATTGGAGGTGAGCTGAT